CGGCCCTGCGTGTCACCGCACCCTTAACCATGTCACACATACCCTGACACCCCCCACACACACCCTGTCAACCCGCAACCACACACTATCATCCCCACACACACACCAATATCCCCTCCAATATCCCAAACACTTTCAGCCACTACACACAGTCACCCCCTTCACCCAGCCCCACTCACATTAACCCCTCCAACTCTCATCCCCTCCAACCATACCAAACTCACCCGCCCTCGCTTAGCCACACTTAACATATCAGATTAACCCCCAATCCTGTCAGACTCACCTTCTCTTGCACTGTCACACCCCCAGCCTTGTCACACTCATCTTCTATCAGTCTGTCCCACTCACAAGCCTTCACTCTGCCACACTCACCCAACCATATAAACCCCTCCAATCCTGGGTGCTACACTCACCCCAAACTTCCCTTAATTCTGTCTCCCTCCTCCAAACATGGCACATTTACACTGACCCTTTGATACATCCCTGAACTATTCCACACTCACCCTGTCACATTATCCTCCTATAATCCTGTCTCATTTACCTTCCTCAAGTCATTCATCATACACACAGAGTCATGAAACGTAGCATTGCCATAACACAATGCACAAAGGCCACAGGCAGCCCCCATAAACACAACACACTGCAAGCAGCTACCCCACACACATATATAGTCCCAGACACTAGCGGAACTACCACTGACACTCTGGGGACCCGGGGGCCCGCTACTATGTGTTGCGGCCCCAACCGCGCTGTAGATCTGCCGGGGCCGCACGTTCAGGAGCCCATCGGGTGGCCCATGCTGTTAGGGCCACCCAATGGCTATGTGTTTCCAGGGGGCCCGGTCAGACTGAGCTGGGAGGAAGTGACTGCCCCAGTCACTTTTCCCAGCTTACACAGAGCCCACGCGGGAAGTAGGAGAGGAGGGAGTCAGAGTGGGAACTCCCATCAGCCTGAGATACTGGACCCCAGGTAAGTCACCCTCCTGCACCTAAAAGGTAGGAAAGAGGAGGATGTAATTTTACATGTATGTGTGTGTGTGTGTGTCTCTGTATGTCTGCGTATCTGTATGTCAGTGCGTGCCCTGTGTTTCTGTATGTGTGTCATTCTGTGTATTTGAATGTTTGTCCTTAAGTGTTTGTGCATCTGTCTGTATGTGTGTCTGTGTATCTGTGTTTGTCTCAGTGTTTGTATATATATATATATATATATATATATATATGTATCTGTATGTTCATTTTTGTCTGCATTTGCATGTGTGTATGTGTGTCCGTGTATGTATCTGTATGTGTTATATGGTGCGTATCGGCATGTTTTTTAGTGTGTGTTTGTATGAATGAGACACATTGAGTGGAGACAATGCCAGACACATTCAGAAATATATATCTGTAACCATACCCTGCAATCATGTATAAACGATAAACATAATAATTACATTTGTTTATTGCAAATTAATTTAGTTTGCAAAATATGCCATAACTTCAGTCAGAAGACTTACATTGCAGCGGCACAGGGAGCACTGCAAGACTAGCTCTCTGTATCCAATGCTGCAAGACGGTCCTTCAATATAACTACAGCACCTCACACAGACATTGCAACCCCTATTTATTTTTTCACTTTGGGTGTTAGTGGGGGCCTCATGTTTGAGTTACACCTAAGGCCCCACATAGTCTAGAGCCGCCACTGTTAAGCCCTGTGCTCAAACTCCCACTACTCCTTGGGGCGCTCGCACTTTAATGGCCATTGGAGTAATTCTAAATAATCTCCAGTTATTTAAATGTGCGTAGGGATTTGAAATAGTGTGCAGGTAACTTTTTTTTTTTTTAGATTACATTTTCCAGTTGGTTTACATACCATATTGAATATGCCAGGACTGCACATAGATTAAATGCATATTGTTGTGGAATATTCCAAAATTAGCAGAGGTAGTTGCATAAAATAAATAAACTAAGCTGTCCTCTGTGCAATATCCTTGGAAAATGCAATTTGCTCGAATACGAGTATTTTTTATGTTAACGCTGAGTTTACAGCAGTCATTATGATTAACTATTTCAGTTAGACTTTTGTGTTCGGCTGTATATTATCATGAAAGCATGTTGTATAACTGCAAGAAAGCTTTCATTTTTATTTCTTGAGGAGTCAGTTTTGGATGTAGAAATCCTTGGGGTATTGCCTTTTGGGGTCAGTTTACCAGTCAAGGAATTCAGCCGTTCAGTCTAGCCAATGATATTTCACTAGGGAAAGCCAAGGGTAAAGAATCCTTCAGTGTGGAAACAGCTGAAGAAATATCCATTTTGCTGTTGAAGACATTTGCCCAAATCTTTTTCATATGTGCATTATACAATGAATAATCTTTAAACCATACAATATTGTCCTTGCAGCCGGGCCAGTAGATGTCAAGTACAGTAATTATTTAGAACAGGGAAGGCAAAACAGTAGATCATCAGCTCTTTGCAGAACATAATCTCAGCAGAGCTCACATTATAAAAGTAAATAAAGAATGATCTGCAGACAGTGTATGTAATTGCAGAATACGGATAATTTTATCATCTACAGCACACAATCAGAATGACCTGCAGGAATACGATCTACCTGTAGATGGAGCATGGGAGCTAATGGCCAGTGAGTCTTCTGGTTTTGCACATGATGACCACATGTGTGATATGGCCACTGTTAGCACTGAGCTTGGACAGGAAATCAAGCTATAGATAGATATTTCCTCTGGGTCTCCGTGGTTTTTGTTTGTAGCCACTCCTAACCTGGTTCTTTCTCTATGAAGCTTTATTAAGGTGATAGGTCACATCCCGGCTTCACCCTGGATTAAAATCTTTCATCAAGTTGTCAGTGTGACTATAGGATCACCACTTTACATCCTGTGTCCGAGCTCTCTTTCCATTCCTTGAAATGTCTTTCTAAATAGATTTAAGCATAATTACTTGTTATGTTAACCGTTTCCTTAAAAACTGACACTATTTACACAAATATAAAGAAACTTTTATTCCCATATATACCATTTCATTTTGCATATTTTTTTTGTAACTCATTTTTGCAAGTTGTCTTGCATTAATACCTTTTTTGTTGTCCCCCGTACCTCACCACAAATAAAGTTCCTTATCTGTGCATAGTGCGTGTCTAATCTCATTCTCTCAGTCTTCCCCAGTACAACATCCTGCACAACGTATCCCACCCTCTGTCCTTTCCTATCCCCCACAATGGTTTCTTTTATTTATACACCATGCTATAAGCAGCTCTGTAACCGGGGGTCTATGCATATTTTGCAAAGACCACAGATGGTGACTGCTACGCTTGTATTACGTGACTATAAACTTGTCCCTTGCGAGCACTGACATCTTTTTTTCTTGAGATACTCTTCAGCTCTTGGTGCTTCATATGTCTCCACTTTTTTGTTCCTCAAGTGAAACCTCAGGTGTGCCTGGATACTTATCTTTTTGTACAGCAGTACAAAAACAGGCACTCAGCACCAGATCAAGAGAAGTGGAGGTCTACCACACCAGACAAGACCCTAGGTGCAGATTGTGCAATGAGGCCTCCGAGACAATCCAGCACATAGTAGCCGTGTGCAAGCTGTTATCAGGAACTGCATACACTGAGAGGCACAATCAAGTTGCTGGGATTGTGTACAAAGTTATCTGCACAGCATGTGGGCTGGCCTTTCCCATGTGTAGATGGAAGATACTACAAATGATAGTTGAGAATTGCAGGGTGAAGATCCTGTGGGACATACAGATCCAGACAGACAAGCACTGGCCCGACATCTTAGTTGTAGACAAGGAGCTGAAGACTGTAGTGGTAGTGAATGTCCATCAAGAAGAAGAAGGAGCATGGGGAGTAGGACCAGGGCCGTCTTTAACGCGGGGCAAACGGCGCAGCTGCCCCGGGCCCAGTTTCTCTTGGGGGGCCCGAGGCACCTGCCCCGTGGGCCCCGCTGCCCTCATCAATTTATTTTTTTCCCCATCCTCTGAGTCCCACCGGGTGGCCCATGCACTTAGGGCAGTGGCGTACATACCAGGGTCGCGGCTGCGACCCTGGTATGCACCCACAGGGCCAGCGTCTTCCCCTGGGGGGCCCAGGAGGCGGCCACCTCAGGGCCCCCCCGAGGCTGGCCCTGCTGACCCCGGCGGGCGGGTGGCCGGTCGGGCAGGAAGGCGGGCGCGCGAGGGAGCACTCACTGCTTCCTCTTCAGCTCCCTCGCGCACCGCACTGATACCGGAGCCGGAAGATGACGTCATCTTCCGGCGCCGGCATCCCTACGCGGCGCGCGAGGGAGCTGAAGAGGAAGCAGTGAGTGCTCCCTCGCGCGCCCGCCTTCCTGCCCAACCGGCCACCCGCCCAGGAGCCCAGCAGCACCACTGGACCCCAGGGAATCCCCCCCAGCACTCCAAAAGGTAAGGAGGCTGGGGGGATTACATTTAAAAAAAAAATGTGTGTTTGTGTGTATGTGTGTGTTAGTGTATGTGTTTGTGTGTTAGTGTATGTGTGTGTTAGTGTGTGTGTGTTTGTGTGTTAGTGTATGTGTTTGTGTGTGTTAGTGTATGTGTTTGTGTGTTAGTGTATGTGTGTATTAGTGTATGTATGTGTGTGTTAGTGTGTGTGTTTGTGTGTTAGTGTATGTGTGTTAGTGTGTGTGTTTGTGTGTTAGTGTATGTGTGTTAGTGTGTGTGTTTGTGTATGTGTGTTAGTGTGTGTGTGTGTGTTAGTGTATGTGTTTGTGTGTTAGTGTAGTGTGTGTGTTACCGTGTGTGTTTTGTGTGTTAGTGTATGTGTTTGTGTGTGTGTATGTGTGTGTTTGTGTGTGTTAGTGTTTGTGTGTTAGTGTATGTGCGTGTTAGTGTATGTATGTGTGTGTTTGTGTGTGTTAGTGTATGTGTGCTTAGTGTGTGTGTTTGTGTGTTAGTGTATGTGTGTTAGTGTGTGTGTTTGTGTATGTGTGTTAGTGTGTGTGTATGTGTGTTAGTGTATGTGTGTGTTGTGTATGTGTGTTAGTGTGTGTGTGTGTGTTAGTGTATGTGTGTTAGTGTGTGTGTTTGTGTGTTAGTGTATCTGTGTGTTAGTGTATGTATGTGTGTGTTTGTGTGTGTTAGTGTATGTGTGTTAGTGTGTGTGTTTGTGTGTTAGTGTATGTGTGTTAGTGTGTGTGTTTGTGTATGTGTTTTAGTGTGTGTGTATGTGTGTTAGTGTGTGTGTTTGTGTGTTAGTGTGTGTTAGTGTATGTGTGTTAGTGTGTGTGTTTGTGTGTTAGTGTATCTGTGTGTTAGTGTATGTGTGTGTTAGTGTATGTGTATGTGTGTGTTAGTGTATGTGTGTGTGTCAGCATGTCTGTGTGTGTGTCAGTATGTCTGTCTGTCTGTGTGTCAGTATATATGTGTGTGTATATCAGTATGTGTCAGTATGTCTGTCAGTGTGTCAGTATGTCTGTTAGTGCATGTGTATGCATGTGTCAGTATATCTGTCTGTGTGCCAGTATGTCTGTGTGTGTGTCAGTATATCAGTGCCTGTGTGTGTGTGTCAGTATTTCTCAGTGTATGTGGGTGTCAGTATATCTGTCAGTGTGTGGGTGTCAGTATTTCTGTCAGTGTATGTGTGTCAGTATGTTGATCAGTGTATGTGTCTGTGTGTGTGTGTCAGTATGTCGGTATATGTGTCTGTGTGTCAGTATGTCTGTATATGTGCCTGTGTCAGTATGTCTGTCAGTACGTCTACCAGTGTATGTGTCTGTGTGTGTGTCAATATATGTACCTGTGTCAGTGTGTCTGTCAGTGTATGTGCCTGTTTATCTGTATGTAGTCAGTGTATGTATCTGTGTATCTGCTTGTGCGTCAGAGTGTGTACCTGTGCATCTGAGCCGCAACTTTAAATACAAATACACCCCTCCATTCAAACTTCAACACTACATATAAAACACACTCCTGCATTGAAACGTCAACACTACATACAAGCACACTCCTACATTCAAAAACAAACACTACACATAAATGCACACTTGCATTCAAACTCCAGTACCACATACAAACACATTCACACAAACATACTCCATACAAACACATGCTTACATTCAAACATACAAACATGGCTCAGTGCTAAATACAACCCTGCAAGCATGGGAAATTGGTAGAGTCCCAGCTGTCAAAGCATTGTTGGAGTTGCACGACAGATGGGGTTCTACCTTTAGTCCAACCTTGCAATTGGGGGTCCCAATAAAATTCATTCTACTTTAGTACCGCCACTGCGTTGGGATGGATGCCGTGATTGCATACCAGGGAGTGAGGGGCGAGAGCGGCAGGGCACAGGGGGCCCAAGCAAACACTTGCCCAGGGTCCATTCGTTATTAAAGACGGCCCTGAGTAGGACATATACAAAAGAATGTAAGAGGAGCTAGGAAGCATGTGGAAAGTGAAGGCAATGGTAGTCCCAGATGTGATAAAAGCACTCAAGGCTGTCATCCAAAGTTGGGAGTGTGTCTTCAGCAGATTTCAAATGGAACATCTGAGATCTCTGCCCAGAAGAGTGTAGATACTGTGCAGAACCCTCAGATTCTCAGGACGAGGGCTGAGAATGAGGAGTACACAAAAATAGGGGATGGAAAGTCAATGTTTTTTATATATATATATATATATATATATATATATACACACACTTCGAACCAATGTATATATAATATATGTATATATATATATATCATATATATGTAACGTAATACTTAGTGTATTTTAATATAATTACATATATTATCAAAATACACTTAGAATGAAGTTACATATATATAAAATATGTATATATATTATATATATCTTCATATAATTACAATAATAAATAAAATAAAAATAAATACACGTGTATATATAATTTATTTATAATTTCATTCTAGCTGTATTTTGATATTAATATATATATATATATATATATATGTAGCAAAATACACTTAGAATGACATTCTATATATATATATCTATAAATAAATAAATAAATAAAAATAATTGCAAATATATATATAAATATATTCAAAATTGTGGATGAAAACCCCTTCCACCTGAAATCACTTGCAGTAGTGAGTGCACTGTTAAAGTGAGATTTCTGTGGTAAAGGCAAGTCTTTTGAGTTTGGTCAAAAACACCCCAAAAAGGCACGATGAGAAGGAATTTCAGAAGTCACAGTATGAGCAACATACAACGGCCTGCACAGTTTCTAAACTACAAAATAACCTGTAGGAGCAGCATCCGGTGTTTTGGAAAGAATGCAGGAAGGCGTAGTTTAAACATCAGCTCAGCTGCAGAGAACATCCCTTGCATGGAAAGTAAATACAAAGTGCTTATGGAGCACCTTGACCTGGACTGAGCTGCTGGCCTACAAACCAAACATTGTTTTTAAATTCTAATTTGTTTCAGTGAACGCTGATACCAGTGGCGTACACCCGCCTCTACCCCCTTCCCTCCCCTCTCTCCCCTGATCCGTGGGCCCCCCCCCCCACACAGACACACACATACACACAGACAGACACACGCACCCCTGACAGACACATACATACACACATACAGACACACACATACAAACACACACACACATACAGGCACATACATACAGAGACACACACATACAGACACATACATACACACAGACACAGACAAACACATACATACAGAGACACAGACATACACACACATACAGAGATACATACAGAGACAGAGACACACACACATACAGAGACAGACACACACATACAGAGACACACACACATACATACAGAGACACACACACATACATACACAAAATGTTTCCTGTTTCCTACCTTTTGTGACTTTCCCTGGGGTCCAGTGTGGGGGCTCAGACTGATGGGAGTTCCCACTCTGAATCCCTCCTCCTTCCTCCCGCGCGGGCTCTGATAGCTGGGAGGAGTGACCAGGGAGTCACTTCCTCCCAGCACTGATCTCATAACAGGGGGCCCGGTCGTGTTGTTAAAGCGCCCAGCGCTGACCAGGCCCCCTGATAATCCATATCCACCGGGTGGCCCTGACAGCATGGGCCACCCGATGGACCCCTTAACATGCGGCCGCGGCGGTTTGCCGCGCAGACTGGTGCCGCTAAATGTGGCAACTAGTACCCGGTCGCGGGATCCACAGGGTGGCCAGGCCCCCTGGAGTGACGGGCCCAATCGCAGCTGCGACCCCTGCGACCACGGTATGTACGCCAGTTGCTGATACACAGGTCAAGCTGTTGAGTCCAATGCATTCCATCTGATGATGTGGTTTACATTTTCCTTTTTATTAGTTGAGCTGTTTGTCTGGCTAAGCACACCTATTCATTAAAAGACTGTGTATCAGGCAGGTGCGTTGCTGGGTTTCAAAAAGACATGAAGCTTCAGACCAAGGGTAAATTTATATTGGTATTTATTGACTTAAATTCTCTCAAAACACCTATAAATACACTCCTATACCCTAAAACTGTGGTGTACCTAGGTTACCTGGCACCAGGTATGGCAATGTTTATTGGCACCCCCTCCCTAACTGTAGATTTTTCGTTGTTGTTGTCTCTCTGCACTGCCACTTACATTATTTTTTAAGGAATTTACAAACACAAGCACATTGTACACATGAAAGAGTGTAGCATTGAATCTTTAGAGCTGGATGCGCATAGGCATCATGAAACAATGGAAATTGTTTGTGGGCTTTGCAAATATTTATTCAAATGAACTTGGAAAGTCAAACTGAAACTTTTAAAAAATAAATTAATAATAGCACATGTCAATTAAAATTACAAATAGAAGACATTGGTGTAAAAATAACCAAGATGGAAGAAAAATATGTATAAAATGGAACTCCAATACAAAACGGTCACGGAGGTGCAAAAATGAATGAAAACTGATGTGAACACCTTGGAACAAAGGATAAATCTATTGGAAGATAAGCAAAGAATAAAGAACATCAGACTGAAAAATATCCCTGAATCCGATACTTATGAAAATACAAAAGAATTTGTGCTTGAATTTCTTTTAGCTTTAGACATCAATATGCAAAACAAGGAACTCGTGATAGTAAATGCATATCGTGTGAGAAAACCGCCAAATATTCCAGAAACAAGTCCGAGAGATCTGGTAGTTGTCTTTTAATCTTCTCAAATGAAACAACAACCTATTCAATCAAGTAGAGTGAAGAAACTAACAGAAGGAAGATTTAAAGATATTGTAATGTACCAGGACTTACCATCATATACAAGAATGTGAAGAAATATTTTTTTTACAGCCCTTATACCACTGTTGCGGTTATGGTTCTGTCCCCTGGTTCAGACTCATATTTTTCTCTCAAATACTTTGACATACAGTGTCACCTACGGTCCCATGCCCATAGTTACATTAGCAATATCACTTCCATTCTTATTTGGACAACATAACATGCTCAACCAAGGCATGCATTCTAAATCTGGCCAAACGGTTCAAGATAAGCGGTTGGAATCACAGGAGCAGATTAATTTTGCTGTTCCTCCATCTTCTATTAATTTATGAAGGTACTTGACATCTAGAATACATTGTCCAAGACCTTTATTTTTGCTGGTTCGTATAAAAAACCCCTCCTTTCTCCACTCAGATCATTTTATCAGATATTTCTATTCTAAAGTTCTCTTTTAGTAAACCCCAATATTTTTTGGCCCGGTAGTATTGTAGCTTTATTTCATGAATGCATTTTTTTTACCACTTGTTAATTAAAATACGTTTTCTCATAATGGTTAACAAATTATTTGTGACTTTAGAACTAATGTCTAAAAGCACAATTTTATCTACTGATTGAAAGTACTCTTTAAGGTGATTTACAACAAATTTTAAAAAATTGTATATTTTGAACAAATATTTAATTCTCAATTTACATTTGCTGGCAGTGGGGGAAAAATGTGGTGTTCATGAAAAAAGAAATCTACTCCCTTTTCAGTGGACGGAATCAAAATGACTGTTCCATTTTGGATAATTGTTGACCTGTGGTCATGATAGCTTATATACATTTAGAGAGAGGATGCATGCCAAACTTATTGGGCCAGTTTGAGAGCTTTTCTGATAACCACTAAATGCATACTAGAGGCCTTCGGTTTGCAGACACTTTGTTAAACTCAGCCATTCCAAAACAATAATCCAATGATACTTCTAGAAAAATTTGATTGAGAACCGCAAGATATACATGGTGCTTGCCAATGTTAAACTGCAA